TTCTTTCTTTCTTTCTTTCTTTCTTTCTTTCTTTCTTTCTTTCTTTCCTTCCTTCCTTCCTTCCTTCCCTCCCTCCTTCCTTCCTTCCTTCTGTCACAAAGAATTCAAGGCAAATGTGAAATTTAAATACAACCAAGGACTGTGCTGACTGACCTGCTCAAGCTTATGGTTAAATTATCACTGTAAGCATTTATACCTTGTGAATCAGTAGATGCTACAGATCAGGGCCCACTTTATTGTTTTGTTGATTGTCTAGATTTAAGAAAGTGATGGAGAAGATGTTCATGCAAATAAAATTGAAAAGCGTATCACGTGTACAGTTTTTGGGGAAGATCCAGTTGCTAACTTTACTGGCATACTCCTAGATAAACTACTATAACTGTGATCTCCTGGAACATAAAGTGTAGTACTGAGAAGGTAGGGGAAATCGCATACTGATGGAGATAATACTGTCACTTCAGAGGTTAAACAAATTGTGGATCAAGGAAGGATAGTGTTAGAAGTTTAAATTCTATAATTTAAAGACAACTTCACAGAGTCCCCCCTCTTTGTCCTTACTCTTAGTTAACCTCATCACATCCTCTAATACTGTGAGTTATTTGAGAGCAGGGGCTGTCTTTTGCCTTTTTTGTATCTCCAGCACTTAGCACATTACCTGGCACATAGTAGGCATTTAATAAATATTTGTTGACTGACTGAATGACTATTTGTAGGCTCCCCAGCAGCGTAGAGGACAATGAAGCAGTAAGCATGAGGAAGAACACCTGGTTGCAAGGAGTGAGGGAAAAATTACAGGGAACCAGAATAGAGTATAAACTTCTTGAGGGTATTGTTGTTGTTGTTCAGTCATTTCCAACTCTTTGTGACCCCATTTGGGATTTTCTTGGCAAAGCTACTGGAGTGTTTTGCCATTTCTTTCTCCCCCTTATTTTACAGATGAGGAAACTGAGGCAAACAGGGTAAAGTGACCTCGGCTAGGGTCACCCAGAGAGCAAGTGTCTGAGGTGGGATTTGAACTTGGAAGAGGTTTTCCTGATTACAAACCCAGTGATCTATCCACTGCACCACCTAGCTGTCCTTGAGGGAAGGGATTGTTTTATTTTTGTCTCACCATCCCCATCCCCTAGGACACTGCCTTGCACATAGTGCTTAAACTCCACATAGTTTGTTAAATTGAAGTTAACTGCAGAAGTTTTCATGAAGAGTTGTTAATGACCCTTCAAGTCTTATCTTTAAAGATACTTTAAAGATAAAGATCTTTAAAGATCTTTAAAGATAAAAAAATGGAATCTTATTGCTGTTGGAAACCAGAGATGCTTCAGAGTTGAGGAAAATAAACAGCAAGTTTTTAAAGTGACATAAGATATGCCATTTCATGTTACTTGGCATTTATTTTATTTTTAATTTTATTATTTCTTCAGCTTAATTAGATTCTACTCATGCTATATTGGGAACTACTGTGAACCTAGACTGGGACCATGGGGAACTTGCTTTTTCATCTAATATCTTCATTGTAACTTCAAGTCCATTAAAGATGGACTTTATTCTTCTCTGTTAGAAGAACAAAACAGACTTCATTTAGCCTCCTCCATGAAAGGTAGGCTAGTTTTTCCAGAGGCTTTTGGCTAAAAGAAAAAACTGGGTAATTATTTAAAGAGCCAAACTACTGAGAGGTGGCTGTAGCAATATTTTTCTATCTTGTGGAATTCTGTATTCTGTATTTTCTTCATAGTTGGAGAGATCATCATCTCTTTTCTTGTAATAGTAGCTGAGACAAGATATTAATTAACAAATCTCATGATTTGTGTAGAGGTGTACCAGTGGTAACTTGTCCACAAGAAATGATGTAAAAGATGTCATGAAGGGAGTACATGACTGGAAAAAGGAAGTGGGCTGTCCATGCTGTTGAGAGCAAGGGATGATAAATGGGCAGTCCAATGATGGTACTAGTATCTTAATGATATGAAACAGTTTAAAGACAGGACTCTAACATGTTGGGTGAATCCTTTATGACTGAATGAATGATGAATGCATGAAAAAAATGTCAAGAATTTCCCATGTGCCAACCATTGTGCTAATTATAGATGATACAAGTATAACTGAAGGTCCTGCTGATAAAAAGATTACATTCTATTTGGAGAGACCATACATACAGAAAGGTTGAGCTGCAGCATGAGTGGAAAGGTCCAGATGTCCTAAGAATTCAGCAACAAAGTATACTGCAGGGCCCAGGTGTCCCTGGGATATATCAGAGTATCTGTTCTACAGGGTGAGGTGCCTACAGGAGAGAGTAATCTACCATTACTGGAAAGGGGAAGGTAGTGTAGCAGGGATTCTGGGTTCCCTCTGGCAAGGGATTCTGGGTTCTCTCTGACAAGGAATTTAGGATTTTTTTCTGGCAAGGGTGGAGATAGAGGGTTAGTATCCAGCCAAGAAAGAAAAAGGGAAAGGAGGCATTGGCATGTATATTTGGAGAGGGGGAGGGAAATTGGCTACTTAACGTAACTTGTATGGAAGATTTATAAAAAGATATGTATAAGAATCACACAGCATGAGCATATATGAATGGGTTATGGTCAGTATCACACTGAGGTATAAAATAATCAAAAAGATGAGCAGACAAATATTTCTCAGCCCAGATTTTATGCTTTTGAAAATAGTTTACTCAATTTTACTCTCTAATTAAACATCTTTTCCCTGGTCTTATGATTTTTGATCTAATTTTCTGATCCTCCCATTAGATATACCCTTTACTACCTTTTCATTCTTTTCAATGATAGTAAGAAATCTCAGTGCTCAGTTTTAAGTTTTTCTTCTGAGTTTTGGGAGAGTTTACCATTCCTGCCCCTTACTGATAACTGAAAGCAGATTACCTCCAGTGGTATCTCACTTTCTTTTTTTATGTACATGTAGCATCATTTATTCCCCTTAATCACAACAGCTAAAATCTTAATATGTCCCTAGGTGCTTTTGTTTGGTGGGGAGTAGTATACATCTGATGGACTAGGGACTCAAATAAATGAGTAAAAAGTAGAGTTTATAACTATGTATTCTCTGCAGAGATTATTGAGTCCCATCAATACAGTTCATATTCAGTCCAAAAGTCAATATGAACTATTATATCCATCATATTTCCCTAATGTAATTATGTTTTAATAAATTTATTTTACCTTCCAGCTCATGGGCTGTGTAAGTTATAATTATTAGAATATAAATTTCTTTAGGTTGGTGTCATTTGTATTTTATGTTTTGTCTTACACTACATTTTAGCATATGAAGAAGACTTACTCATTGAGATGTGAGTAATTTATTTGAAATTATTACCATAAGGAGAATAGTGCATCTGGCTTTGATCATCTTTGAGGTGAAAGAGAGATAATGTTTTGGGACACTTATTTCAATTTCTGTCACATTCATCTCTTACAGAAAATTACTAGTATATCAGTTGAATAATATAAATTATACTTTCTTCCTTCCCTTATCATCCATTCTATTAGTACTAATGAAGAGTGCAAGTGTAAGGAAGCAGGTTGTAGAAAAGACAAAAAAGATCCATGTTAATCTTCAAATGGGAAAATACTGAATACTCTTAATAAATAAATAAATCCTGGGAT